AAATGGAGCCAAACTCCCCAAACACATACTACTTAGCATGCGTGTGTACAAGTCAAATACAGATAATAAAATGAGGTCCGTTCAAATATAATAATATATTGTACATGCTTTAAACAGCGGGTGTCTGACTGTTAGAGAGGTCGAGGGTTAAAATAATATTCGTCTTGAGGGTGTGGTCGTGGGTGTCTGTTGCAATATACACTGAACCAAATAACACTAGTATAAATAATAATATGCAATTATCAATTTTTAATAAATATACATTTATTGATATAATAATAATTTTATTAGTTATACAAAAATATTATAAAATTAATAAATAATGTGTTTATAATAATAAATTGGGTTTGTAGAATTTAGAAAATATTTAGGTAATAAATTAATAAATTAAATTTTTTAAATGTAACTTTTTTTATTATTTTGATCAAATAGATTATTAAATTAATAAACATTATGTTCAAAATAACAATTTGGATTTAGATCTTACAAAATATTAAAGTTATTATTTAACAAAATATAGTTGAACAATTAATACAGATTTTATTAATTTAAAAATGTATAGTATTAAATTTATAGATATTATGTTTAAAATAACAATTCGGCTCAATACTTCTATATATTTTCATAACCAATTAACTTATGTCTTCAAACATCGAGATTGGGCATAAATTATTAAAAAGTATTACGTATATAACCCCTTAAAAAGCGGAAGTGTGGAGTAGATCTCTTAAGAAACCGGCACATGCCCGTAAACAGCATGCTTGTAAACAATTATTTTGCGGGAAAAAGAAATTCATACCTATACACAATTATACTAAAGAAGACAATAATTTCCGTCGTCCCTACCGTTTTTCCAATTGTTATCATTGAAACAAAAAAATTATTGTTATTTAAAATCCGTTTTTTCAAATTTCAATAACTTTTTTTTGTACCTACCTTACTTCATAAAAGTTATGATGTTCGCGGTAAATTATGAATTCAGTATTTTAGATAATAATCTTTTTAAATTGTATATTCTGAAGTACATTAAAGCCTAAATGAAAAAAATGAAACTAAGGATTACGAGGAGTCGCTTAATTTGAAGGTAAGTATGGTATTATTATTACTTATATCGTATACTATACTGGTTGGTACTTGGTAGTAACTAATAAGTAATAACTATTAAGCTAATACTAGTGGTACCGGTAATATTATTTTAAACCTTATCCAGATACCTACATTATTTTTCTAATAATTAAGTATGTGAGATTGTACGTATTCTCTGGAAATCTGAATCAGTTAATGTTTTCCATATTTTAGTCTATTAGCTAATCATCTTACTACAGATATAATAGGTACGAAAATTATATTAAGTATATGAAAGTTTTACTACGAAAACTATGGTTTACTTATTTTAGTTATCACTTATCAATAATGGCATATTACGAGAAAAGTCTAATGAGATCGCAAAATAAGACTTCAACCATTTTCTACTCATACATTCAAAATTATAGACTAGCTAGCCATTACTCCAAAGTTTGACATCGAACAGAACGCTTCTCTAGTTTCTTTGCTCTCTGCTGCCTATAGATATCGCCTGTCGTATTCTGATATCCAATTCTGAATTAAAATCTGTGTAAGTACATATATATTATAGTTTTAAATATACAATATAGTTTTTATTCAGAATAGTTTTTTTTTTTAATGCAGTCGCCGATCATTTTCTGGAATTAATTTTAATTTAGTCATCAATTATTTTTTAAATTTTCGTATTTTTCAAAGTTTTATTTCAATGTAATTTGTAGTGCTAAAGATTAAAAATAATACACCTATTATAGATCTATATTAAAAAAAAAACTATTACTTTTTAAATTGATGATTATTAGTTTTTACATTTTTGTACCAATATACCTATATTTTGAATTTATATTATTCTAAATGTATGTTTGATGTATAAATATTGAAAGTTGGACTTAGTTGTTACTAGTTTTATTACCAGTTATTTTTTGTATATATATACAGTACCCACTGTGCACTTTAAACTTTATGGTGTAAATTATGGTAATTAATTTACTAATATGGTACCTACAACACTAGAAATTTATACACCAACTGTCATTCACATTTTCATAAAAATTTTGTTTTCTAGTTTAGCTTTTCTAAGTCTAAAATATAGGTACAATAAAATAAAGCATGCTTAATTAACAAGATAGAAAATAGTAATAAATGAAGGCTAATAGGTAGTAGTTTTTTTTTTTTAGGATAATTAATTTGTAGATACATCTTATATTATACAATTGTTTAGTTAGTAAGTATGCCTATTTACTTATATCAAATAATATATGTTTATATAATATATAAAGTTTATTATTATATTGTTTTAAGTGCTACTATTAATTAAATAATATGATTTGTTTTGTTTGTAAAAAAAATATTTTAACTTTTTCGGCACTGGTGGTGCATTATAAAATAATTCACTTAATAAAATCTTCAAGTACATATGAGTGTACAGAATTTGGATGTACTCAATCATTTCCTAATTTAAAAAATTTTAAAAAACACGTATCAATAAAACATGCAAGGAAACCTATTACTGTACCAACTCAATCAACAATATTTAATAATTTAAACAATAATAATGAAAGTGATAATATTGATACAAATTTGAGTCACATAATAGATTCACCTCAACATGTGAACCATAATTATGCCACCACTGATACCTATAACACCCCTGATGACAACCCCATATTACTTGCACCTGTAGATGATATTTTTGACATTAATAATGCTATCAACTCATTTCATACTTCTGCAGTAAAATTTACCTTATCGTTGCTTAGTAAAAATAATTTTAGTAGAAAAGATGTTTTCGAAATCCAACGTGAAATAGAAAAAAATTTAATTAAACCAATAGAAAACTTAATTACTAGTTTCACACAAAAATTAATTAAAGAACCTATTTTATTATCAACTTTACACACAATTACAACAGCAATTACAAATACATTTGATTTTTGTAGCACAGAGTTTTCTTTAAACAGTTGGTTAATCAAAAATAATTTATTTAGTAATATCCAACAATTTAATATAAATGATGAAATTAATTTAGTTTGTAATGATGGTGAAACAATATATAATGACAGTGTTACCAAAGGTGTATTATTACCATTACATTTTCAATTTAAAACTTTTTTTGAACATGAAAACAATTTTGATATTACTTTAAAAATGTATGAACAGCTAAAAATCAGCTCAAATAATGAAACACAAATTAAACACTTTATTCAAGGGCAGTTATGGAAAGATAAAATTGCTCCATATAAAAATAAAATTGTCATTCCATATTTTATGTATATAGATGACTTTGAAATCAATAACCCATTGGGTTCACACGCATCTGTACATTCTGTTTCAGCAATTTATTATAGTTTCCCTTTATCTGATCAATCAAAACTTATAAACATACATTTAGCTGCTCTTATAAAGGCTGTAGACATGAAGGAATTTGGAAATGATTTATGTTTAAATAAATTAATAAGCCAAATAAATGATCTTGAGGTAAATGGAATCAATATAGTTACTCAAAATGGTACACAAGAAGTACATTTTATTTTAGGACTATTTCTTGGTGATAATTTAGGATTAAACACTATTACTGAATTTAGTAAATCATTTTCGGCAAATTTTTTTTGTAGGTTTTGTAAGGTTCATAAAACAGTAACTAAACATTTATGTAAAGAAAATCCTTCATTACTCCGTAATTCTTTAAATTATGTAGATGATATTGCGATTAATGACTTCAAACAAACTGGTATTTATAAAGATTCAGTTTTAAATAAGATAAATTCTTTTCATGTAACTACTAATTATAGTATTGATATTATGCATGATATCTTCGAAGGTATTTGTCATTATAATTTGTGTCATATAATTAATTATTATACAGAAGAGGTCAAGATCTTTTCACTAGAAACATTAAATTATAGAAAAAAGCATTTTAACTATGGCCCTATAGAAATAGGAAATATATCACCTCCTATAAAACCTATTCATATAACAAACTTTCACTTAAAAATGTCAGCGAGAGAAATGATGACATTTGTTTATTATTTTTCTTTAATGATAGGAGATTTAATTCCCGAGGATGATAATGTGTGGTTATTTTTTTTAAATTTTTTGGAAATCATTGAAATTTTACTCACATGTCAAATTTCTTATGCAACAATTTTCCATCTACAACAACTAATAGAAAAGCATAATTATGACTATATCACATTGTTCAAGGATACGTTAAAACCTAAACACCATCTATTAGTTCATTATCCAAATATTATCAAATACTCTGGTCCTCCTAAACATTTTTGGTGTTTTAGGTATGAGGCCAAACACAAAGAGATGAAACTATATGCACATGCTATTACATCAAGGAAAAATATTTGTTTGTCCTTAGCCAAAAAATATCAATACAAATTTGCATACAATATTCTAAATTCTTCTCTTAATGTTAAAATAAATTTAAATAATAAATATGTGAATGATAGTAATTACAATCAACTTATTTTAAGAGTTCTACATTTAACAAGTGACCAATATATATGTTACTCACAGATAGAATTTAAAGGTACATTATATAAAATAGGTTATTTCTTAACACATTTTAATGATGAAATTTGTGTATATGAAATTTTAGAAATTATATTTGTTAAACAAAATTCCAAAGTTCAGTTTATTGTACAACAAATAGAAATTGATTTTTATAACTCCCATCTTAGAGCATATCAAGTAAATAAAACAAAAACAATCATTTTAAAAACTATTTTGAGTCCAGAGGACTGTAGTGGGCCACCAGTGAATATTAATGAATTATCTAATGGTAATTTAATGCTAAAACTAAAAGAATATTTTTAAGATAATATTATATAAGTGTATAGGTAGTGAACACTGTACAATGTATATATGTATATATAATGTATATTTTTTTTGTGTATATAATTCTACTTCAATTATTATTTGTATTTAATTATTATTACTTTGTAAATATATGAGTTATGTTCTAAATTAATGTCAAATAGGTTATTAATAGAGATAAAAAATGAATATATTTTGTCAAAGAGATGAAAACACTACAGATAACATTGAATACACATCAATCGATAATTTATTAAATAATGATAATGAGTTTCGTTCTATAATGGATACTAGTAGTATCCATCTACTAACCAATATGCATGATGACACACCACTTGCCAGTACATCAGAAAATTCAACAAGTTTTCAATCTGTTGATAACAATCAATTAAAAAACCTCCTTATAGAATGGAATCTTGATTGTTTGTACCAAATATGTATAGGTAACGATACTAAACCAAATATAAAAATGTTTTATTAAAATTAATTATTTTATTTTAGAGCAACAAATGGATTTAGAGGCCTTAGGGCTAATGAATGATAATCATTTCAATATATTGTTGTCAAATGTTCCACTGGGACTCAGAATAAAATTTGAAAGCAAAGTTAAAAAATATCAGGCATCATTAATTCAAAACTCAGAACACACCACAGTTAATAAGACATCTGCAATTATTATAAATAATGCTAATGAAATTTCTCAAAAGGTCTCAGAAGTTACAACTGAAAATCAAATTTTTCAATTACATACCATTTTGAAAAATTATCCTCAAGGATCTTTTGTTCTGAACTATTTTGAAAAACATAACATTCTTAATGAGAGTTGTAGAAATGTATTGGTTGAAATTATCATTAATGACCTAATAAAAAGAGAATCCCATATGACATTTAGGTTGGCTAATTTAGTAGCTGATGCTATAATTGGAACTTTTCCCACAGAAATCAAAGTAGGTACCTAGTTTATATTATTTCTCCTAAGAATTGATAAAATTGATGTAATTTAATGTGCTTGTAATTTGTTATAGGATACTTATTTTCTAAAAGATGCCAAAAATACTTCACCTAAAGGTAAATTATATGCCAAATATTACAATACCATAAGGTATATGAAACAAAATGGTTTAATACCTGCAGCAATTGGTAAAGAGAGATCTTCAAAACCATTGAGTCGTACAATGGACAAAGAAAATAGTATACTTGGTAATATGATTAATTTTAAATAATTATTCGAAAAATATTTCAATTTGTATTAACTTATGAAAATTCAACATTTATTTAAGTTACCTATGTGTGAGTATTAGTACATATTATACTATATTTGCTTTATACTGCCATGCTGGTTTTGAACACAGTCACTGGTGGAGTAAACGGCTAACATACCTACAACCTAGGTACCACCTGACACGGGCAGTTTGAAAATATGATACTAGGTGTTGTAAGACACATGGTACATGACATACGTAGCCACCCACCCATGTCTTCAGTGGACTTTATAATAAATGTAAATTTTGTACATATAAAGGTTAGCATCAACCTACCTAACCCCTAATATATTTCAGAATCTGTACCAAAAAATATTGCATAAGTAGGTACTCAAACCGACTCTGCCACCTGACCACTGCTGATTTAAAATATTCCCCTCCCCCCTGAGCTTCTTTAAATTAATAATGTATACCTACCTATCAACCTATCTTTAAAAACAATAGTTTAATATAGGTAACACAGAATATAATATTTACTCTTAATTCTTATAGTATTATGTATATAATTCACAGCTACTGACCCTGATTCTGAATTAGTGTCGACATATCTAAATGATAAAGATCTAACATGGACAGAAATAGAAGACATTTGGAGAAAAACTATTAATTACCGTCTATATTATATAAAACAAAATAATGCTACAGACATTTTTAATAAATGGCAACAGTATACTCAACCAATGGGTTATAAACTTGTAAGTCTGAAATATTATTTAATAAGTTCATAGATATTCTATGAAAATAAGTATTTTTTCTCTAAGGCCTCACCTTTGTTTAATTATGTATTCTAGTTGCCTACTTCTACATTGCAATGATCACTATATAATTTTATACTGCATTTATAATTTATACGCATTTGAAAATAAATGTATTATTCATAATACAACTGTAACAGACTCCTACAACAGTTGTATTAATATTGTCCTTACTAAAATAATTAAACTAAAAAAAAATATATATTTTTATGGATTAATGGATTTTATACAATATAGGTAGGAAATTATGTATACATTATTACATTTTATAATTTAGGTACCTACTAAATATATTTTCAGTTGTACTTAGTGTAAAACTCCTATAATTAAAAATACTGAAAATTACAAAAAAATTAAAAATTATCTAGTTTAATTGTATAAATTCTTGTATGTCTATAATATTATTATTTTTATGGTATATTAAAACACATGATTGGTATTATTGTTTATTCCAATAAAAAAAAATAAAAATTACTGTCTATTTCATTTTAGGTTGATATAGATTTTCAAAATGTGTTTAGCGATTACACAAATTTCAAAACTGTTTTTGAAGAGAATATGAATAATTTAATTAACATTTTGAAAGAGAGAGTAAGGAGATTGTGAAAGCAAAAAATTATTAGAAACATTTAGTTCAATGCAAAATATGTCAACTGGTAATTATTTATATACCTATATTTATTTAATTTAAACATTTAGATGTTATAATTGTCTTTATGTACCAAAGCAGTATTTATACATCTTAGGTAGATTTATGTTGTATATTTTAAATATATTATATTTAAAGCTTATACTTTGTAGAATAATAAAATTAAATTGAATAAAATTAATTTTGTTTCCAGATTCAAAAACGTTGATAATAATGTATTTATTGCATTGTATTTTCATTCCCACCTCAAAAAAATCAACTAAAGATAGTAATGGAAAAAGAGGTTTCATAAAATTTAGTATAAGGGACTCACAGAATTCATTCCTGGTTGTAACTCCAACAGCGGTGGCGATGGAGTTAACATTGAAAAAGATGGCTGAAAACGGTCCAATACAGCCATGCTTGTTAGTTGTAGGATCATTATTTGATCCTAAACAAATTCTAGTGTATTTCGATAACATTAAATACAAAATGTTTTCTGCCTACAAGGCGTTTGATATATGTTTTAAGATATTCCATGTCTTCAACGTGAAATATCCTCTTGAATCTGGTGACGTATGGCTGTTTATACAAACTTTTTTTTACAATATAACAACTAAGTATGATAAGTCAAACGTAGTATCAAAACAAATTTCAAATGAATTAAAATCAAAATTAATATGATAAAATGTGTAGGATATAATATAAGGTATACACGTAGTATAGACTGTAGAGTATAGGTAGGTACCTAGATTTATTATATTACCATTTACCATTAGATAATAGGTACTTTCTGTTTTTGATATAATGATTATAAATAACTTTATTATTATTTCTTTGTAATCGTGTTATGAATACCTATTATACATTTTATTAAATATTATATACCTACCTATACAGTTTATGAAATTATCAAAAAAAAAAAATTATAATAATAAATATTAAATAATATTATACATAATAATAATTAATAGTTAATATACCTGCTCGTTTTTATATATAATATTAGTTTTTTTGTTTTTGTTATTATAATATTATCTAATAACCTGTTACTTATATTATGTTATTTCAAATTAATTTGCGTATTGTGTAACTATTTTGTATTTATAATCTATATATAGCCATATAGGCACTTAATATTGTTATTGTTAGTTGTGCACTTGTATATATACCTACTAGACTAGTGACTATAAATAATAATTATGTGTATAGTTAGATTGGCAAACTACAATATTATACATACTTAACTAATTGCATGTACATCTATACTTCTATAGGTACCTACAGATTTAATTTTTTATAAATTACCTATAGGTATAATACTTAATATGTGTATTGTTTAATAATAATTATAATATTATACACTATTTTTAATGTTAATATATAATATATTTGTATATCATTTGTTACTGTGTTAGGACTATTATATATTAATATTATATGTTTAATGATTAGATAATACATTTAATAAAATATTTTAAAATATTTTAAAATGTATTCTGTTTTTATTTCTTTCAAACAAATAAATTATGACACTAATCTACTATTTTACATATACCCTCTGAAATCTCTATTAAGCAGACACTGAGAATGCTGTCTGAAATGTCACTGAAATTGTGTCCGCTATTCAAAGGGTTTAGGTTGTAGATGTTTATAGTTTATTCCCAAAAAAGTCCGCTATTTGGAGGTGTCCGTTGGGGAGGTTTCACTTTACTTATAAATAATATAAATATTTTTTAGATTTAACAAAATTATATTTATTTGATATATGAATAATTTATTAATAATAAGAAAAAAAATTATTATCCGTCATTTTAACTTTTGGTATTAATAAAATATATTGTAGAATGAACAAAACATCTTATTAATTCATTGGTTAAATTAACAAATATAAGTAATAAAGGTAATTTGTAGTTTTAACAAAATATTTTGTTTTTTAAACAAATGAGTGATTAAATTAACAAAACGATGGTTGATTCAAATAAATCCTTGATCAATTAAATAATAATCTTATCCGAAGCATTGATAAACATATTGTAGAATCAATGATACATATTATTGATTTATTATTTAAATTAACAAATATTATACTTCTAAAATAATAAAGATTTTATTAACGCTATATTAACAAACAAATTGTTAAACCAACCTACATTTTTATTAAAAACACCAGTATATTTGGTTGAGTGTAATATTATGTGAGTGTGTGTTGTTTGATGCGTGAACGCCTAAAAATACTATACCTAGTTTAAGTGCTAATGGATTTTACACGATCCGAATGTTATTTCCATTATTATTGTTGCCAAAAATCGCGATGTGCTAATGAGCACGAGGCGTTACTGCCTTATTATTCCATCCTTCCTTCCACAAACTCCGACTATTTCTTATGTATTTTTACTATTGTGATTGTTCTATTTTTCTTATTAATTGTCTATGTTTTTTAATGATCTTTGCGTTTTTGTGCATTCTTGTAACCTGTTAGTATAGTCCTGTGTGTGGTTGGGGTGTATAATAATACAAATATGCTTACACGGACACCAACTTAGTTGCGCAATAACTAGCACCTGGGTCTTAAAAATATGGAGGACTAGCCATGTGTCTAGTGGTGTAGTAGCAGAGGTGTAACAGCAGAGGTCGGGATCGTCGAGTCGCGATGGCTTGAAGTCGAAGAGAGATAAAAATAATCGCTTTGAGATATATTGATCTAACTAATTCGTATTTAACCTTACCTAACCTTGAGAGGAATACAAAAATCCCGAGTTGTGTAGTTTTTATTGTTATCGAAGTACGAGTTATCGCGACTCTATAGTTCAATACGTATTTAAATTGATATATCTGTGCAGCAGTAGTCTCTAACTCAAATTATCAGTGTGCTATGTATTTAAACATCGAAGGTTCGTGGCACAAAAATATTTTTTGTATGTCTATAAAATGTATAATTTTAGACAGATATAACAATCAGTGAGGTATTCACGTGGCACACGGACGTAGTAAGTATATTTTACATACCTACACCGTACAGGCTATTCGATAACACCAACGGTCTCAAACACTATGAAAGATAAAAACCTAATCGATCGGCTAAGTGCCTTATTAGGATGGGTCACAATAATACACCTGTAGTCACTTAACCTATACCTTGACCAGCCTTATAATATATAACAGTCGTCTGTTATATAATACTGTTCAGTTATTCAACGACGAAGACACGAGCCCTCAAATTAGATAATTTTTTTTAAATGTACCTACCTATTATGCTATGTTCAAAATTTGAACGACTAGTTTCTCAGTTAGTTTAAGCGTTTGTACCTAATAAGAATGGCGTTCTAAAAAATGGTTTTACAAAAATATACGATTGATGAAATAGTGGATTCATAGTAATTATTTTACTCAGAGTGCCTGGACGTATGTTATCCTTAGTATACAAGGTAAATTACTAATGAAAAACAAGTTCGAATATCGTTGTATTGATATGTCGACATTTTCAGAAAATTAGACACTAAATTAGGACAGTATTAAGGTGGGTTCGTGTATCGTGTTTGAAAAACAGAAGTTTGTACCTCCACGGGGTACTCCTAATAATAATAGTAATTGGTACCTATGAAAAAAATTAAAAAATTATACAAATTGTGTCCGTTTAGAATATACGTAATACTTAAAAAGGCACTTTAGAATCAGATTTTAAATAACTGCATATATTGTTGATGAAAAAATAGGTAAGAGTGCACGGTGTTATTTGCCATTTTGTATAATATATTTTATCTCTCTTTGTTTTTGACTGAAGATTAAGAATAAACAATAATCATAATATGTATATTGATACTAGATACATAAATACGTAATATTATGTTACTTTGAATTACAAACACATTCACACACACATTTTAGATACATATGTAAACATCTTATTATATTATACAAGCCCACCCATCCTATAGCATATCGTCATTCGGTGACAAATTATCAAGATAGACCTAACTGCACTTAGGTACCCGTAAATAAGAGTGGATTTGAGGATTTCTAATAAAAAATAATAATTTCATTTCCAATTTTTTGAGGAAGACTATAATTAATTGTATATTATAGTCATTACCTATAGTCACATTTGATAAGTACGATTTTTCTATATAATAAATCATCATCATAGAATAACTTATCCAACGTGAATGATAGTTTTTCGTCATGAACTAATGCGTTATATTATAATAACTTGATAAATATGCAAATGTTGAAGTCTCAGTAGCATACTTCATGTATTATAATTATTTATATAATTTCGTATATTATACCTATTCACAGTATACTTTTGATAAAATTATCAATGGCCGTCAATTACATGAACATAATAACTAACCAAATTATTCGACCATACTAGTCAATCGTTTTCTTATTTGTACGAATCACTAATAGAATAAAATCGGGTAGTTATAATATAACAGAATGTTATGTACAATTCATTATATTTAGATTACAGATTATAAAAATGAGTACTGCTGACATTTATTGTACAGCGTATACGTATTTAATTTATCATGCTTCATGGCCTAATGGATTATTATTATTTATTATCAAGTAATTTATGTATGTTACGCAATTGTAAAACAGAGACCACACATGTGGGTGCGGCTGCCTCTAAAGGTACGGTTTCCAAGGCGCGACCGGTTCTTTTCCAAGATACGACTGGTCGTCGCGCAGGGCCGTCCCTAGGGGGGGGGGGGTTTCCCAGGCCCGACTGGTCAGTCGGCACATTTGATATTGAGCTACCGAGTCGGCAATTTAACGACATTTAATAATATATTAAAATATTATTATTAATATTTTATTTGACAAAAACAAAAATACAAAAAAAATTATTATTTTCTATTAATGATATTATGCGTTATTATTAAATTATTATTTTTAACGTATGAAGAATATGTTATAAGAATTATACTAATACTTTCTTTAGCGATAAAGCGTGATAAAAATAGATTGGGTATGTATTGAGCCGGTATCGGACGTCACCGTCGTCAACCGTCCGTGTCTTTATTAGTATATAAGGGTCTAAACGCACTGCGGTTTTTTCGCCGTCGGTTCCAAACGGTTCTACCGTTCGTGGATTTTACGACCAGCACCGCACTGCGGTTTTTTTGCCGCTGATCCAGTAGGTGTTATCACTTGCTTTTCGCGCCCAAATTCAAATTACTGGCTAATCAATTATAAATATAAACATCAATTTTTTATTTCCACAAGAAAATTGATAGTGAAGTGATTACTGTGGTCTGTGATTTCTTAATAACTGCATCTATTACTGTAAATTTAAATTTGTTATAACTACATACCTACCGTGATTTTTTTAAGTACACTGTACCTACACAACCACCCAAAGACATGTAAGTAAATTATAAATTCAATTAATAGTTAAGTTGATGCATAATATAGGTACCAACTTATTGTATTATATTTAATGTGTTTAGAATGGAGTTAGATTACTATTCTAATTTAGTGAAAGTGATTGCTGTTGCCGAAGCGTTTGGTGAATTGGATCCACCAAGATCAATAATAAAATATTGGGTGCACCCAGTAAACCACAACCGTGAAGAATTGGGACAATTTGATACCTTTTATAACAACATGAGATGCTACAGTGATAAATTTTTTGAGTACTATCGGATGACTATTTCTTCTTTTGATGAATTATTAGAGAAGTTACGACCCCACATTACAAAAGAAAATACACAGTTTCGTAATTCTATTAGCGCTGAACAACGACTAACAATTACATTAAGGTAATATACTACTTAATTAAAAAAAAACTACTGATGTAGTAAATTTAAAGTTATTTTAAAATATCAAGTGATTTGAATAACTTAGTTAAGTTGAAAATTAGATATTATTTTTTAATTTTCCAGCCCTTATTCAAGTCAAGCTTCCCAGCAAACACTGAGACGAGACATCTATTATACCTCATCCTAATATGTTGGTGATGTATATTTGATGTCTAAAATAGGTCTATATGAATATTGAACACTTTTTTGGTCTACACCTAACTGATATTAGACATCTAAAAGTTGACATCTAATACATATTATTACAACCAACATAGATCTTTGACATAATATATCTGACGTCTAAATGGAAATAACATGGATGTCTGAAGAAACTAGTAACTACTAGTATATAGATTATAGACATATATAAAAAATATAAATAACAGCTACAAAATTTCTATTTTCCTGGTTTTAAAAATAGCTGATTGATTAGTTACCTAGTTGAAAATCAAAGAATTAAAAACCAAAAGTCATTCTAAGTTTAAACAATTTTATAATTTTAAAATAAAACAAAATAGATAGGTATGTATTAAAAAAAAAAAAAATATCAGCCTTTTTGATAGTTAAACTTCTTGATGAAATAAAATTAAAATACAACATAAAATAACTTATAACCTTTTGTCAAATTGAATAACTAAATTAGAAAAACAAATATTTAAAACATTTATAAAATAAAATAAAACCTTGAACATAATATAATTATTAATAAAAAAACATTTTTAAATAATAAAGTTAATTGGACGGATCTGGAAACGGAGAATATCCTTGAGACTGTGGTGGAGTTTGATCAGTCGACTGAGTTAAATGATTACTTATTGGATTTGAAATTGGAGAATATGAGTGGTGATAGGTAGGTTGTGTATAGTTGATAGGTGATGGTATTGATATTGAGCTTTGTGGTTGTGGGGACTGTTGATAATTTAAAGGACTATAGTAGTTTGATATACTTGGACTGTACTGTGGTATATTATTATACTGAGAAATATTCCTCACACACTGATGAAATTGAAATTTAATTTCTGATTTTTGCTCTGGATTTAAATTTTTGATTTCAGGTAAGAAAGACATTAAGAAAGCTTTATCAGCATCTTCTTTTTCAGTAGGTCTGTGAGAAGGGTTCTTTATAGCATCCAGTAATGTCTCTTGGAAGGGAGTCATCATCGTTGTCTTCTTCTTTTTTTGAGGTGGAAAAGACTGGGTGACAGGAGTACATGTGTTGGAAAGAAATTCTGGAGATTAACCATCATTCTTATCATTATTAGTTTGTAGTTCAGTTAATGTATTATCCAATGAGGTTTCGATGGAACTCATGTTTCCAGTGGTTCTATCAAAATAAATAATGATATGTAAATTATTTTATTAAATTAATATAATTCAACTATACAAATTTGAAGATTAACATAAATATAACAATTATATGACAAATCCTTTGATAATTTCTACACCAAAAGTATCTAAAAAAAAGAAAGATTATTATTTTTGAATTAGTCTATTTTGTAGTTATTTTATTATTTAAACTTATTGAAAAATAATACAAAAACTTAATTAATTATAAAAATGTAGAATATTTTATTCAAACACTTATTTACATTTAGAGCTTTAAAAAAGTTAGTCTTAAGGAGAATCAATGAGAAAAAGTGAAAACATTAAAAAAAAAATGAGAGTAGTAATAAATAGTGAGTGCGTAGCAACACTGTACAATGAAACATTGTTTTAATACCTACCCATGTAAACTAAAATATACAGTGATTTTTTTATTTTTAAGCATCATCTGCCCCACTTTCCCCTTCAATAGTACATTAAGACCATTTTATCAAATTCTTTATATTATTTATATTAATTGTTGTACTACTGCAGAAGTGTCCTGTAGCGGTACAAACTTCTATTTTTCTCATAAGAAGCCCCTTATACTGAAAATTATTTAGTGAATGATTTTCTTGAAAATATTGATGTATCTAAATCAAAAATCTGAGTTAATAAAATGTTTATACTAAGGATAATAATCCTTAAAAATAGTTTTAGAAAATAGTAAACTATATGTATTATTAGATGTAGTAACATTATTATACTGTTTTTACAAATTGTATTGTCACAAATGGTACAAAAAAGATGAAGTATTCGAAAATATGGTCTAATATGTATTAAAAAATTCCAAAAAAAAATAGGGTGCATATGCTTAGACAATTACCCTATCTATTATTATAAAAAGAAAAAAGTTAGGTATAATAAAATAAAGACAAGATAGAATTATGATAAAAAATTAATAGGTAGGTACATTTTTTGACCTACACTTTATGATTAATTAAGTAATAAATCAGAGGCACAAACAAGGTAACAGGGTTTTTTTTGAAGGGGGGGGGGGGCTCAAAAATATAATTATTTTAAAGTAGCAAGCAAATTGAATTAACAATTATTACTTTATTGTTTGATTGATTAATGTAATTATTATAATTACAATGTAAAATTGAATGATAATTAAATGTAAAAAATAAATGTAGGTATGTACAATTTAATAAATAATAATAATAAAAAAAAATTAATTAATAGTATTTTAGTTATATTTACTTTTCGATTTACTTACTTTCTCTTTTGAACAACTGGTTGCAAAAAGTTCAATACTGCTGCATAAGAATATATTCTTGTTTTTCTTCTTGAAGCTTCAGAACCACTTGCCACATTCCTAGTTTCATTTACTTCTCTTGTATAGTTGTCTCGTATATTTTTCCATTTTTTTTTTATATCTGCAGCTAATAATAAAATGATATAATTTGAATTTATATTGAAGTTATTGAATTCATATCATAATTATTATGTTTCAGATTTTTGTCAGTAGGTCTAAACTTTGTGGCACTAAAACAAGAATTTTCTTTGGGTAGGACTACAGTTAGTGATATTGTAAGAGAGACTTGTGACGTTATTTGGAATATCCTTCAACCCACTGAAATGCCAGAACCAATTGGAGAACAGTGGATAAGTATTTCAAATAAGTTTCATGAACGCACCCAGTTTCCAAACTGTGTAGGTGCAGTCGATGGGAAGCATATAAGATGTGTAAATCCCACAAATTCTGGATCCATTTATTATAATTACAAAAAATATTTTTCGATTATGCTAATGGCAGTGGTAGACTCGGAATACTGTTTTATTCATATAGATGTTGGGGCATACGGAAGAGAGGGGGATTCTACTGTATTTAAAGAATGCCCTTTTGGTAAAAAGTTATACACAGAACAACTTGGCCTACCAGCTCCTAAGCCTCTGCCTAATACACAGGACAAACCTCAGCCATTTGTTGTTATTGGCGATGAAGCATTCGGCCTTCATAAGAATCTTTTAAGACCTTTTCCTGGGCGCGGACTTGATCAAAGGAAAAGAATTTTTAATTATAGATTGTCAAGGGCTAGAAGATATGTAGAATGTGCCTTTGGCATATTGGCGAATAAGTGGAGAGTTCTCCATACACCAATACAAGTTGGCCCAGATTTTACTGACAAAATTGTGAAAGCCTGTTGTGTCCTCCACAACTATGTTAGAAGCCGAGATGGGTTTAATTTTGAACATACACTGAGCAATACATTGGAGGAAATAGAGTTTAATAGAAGGGGAACTGGTGCACGTACTCAAGGAATTGATGTCCGCGATGATTTTGCAGATTATTTTATGGAGGCTGGATCGGTACCATTCCAGTATCCAATTGTTCAATGATTATTTGTTTATTATTATAAAAATAATTGTTTTTGTTCAAATACACATATATTTACTTTAACTAACATTGTCAGTGACCTATCCAAGCATCCATTTTAGTCTAGAATCAATTGGTTAAAAAAAATCTACTTCAGCACTCTATACAGAGGTACTGTACTAACTTCAATCTTGTAAAGATGTAATAGTTTTAAACAAATATACCTATACGAATTGCAAAATGTTCACTCAAGAAAATATATTGTCAATATCACCAATCAAAATAGCCAATAGGTATGCTCTTTAAAAGTTTTCTTCAATTTTAAATGAATTTAAATAAAACTTTACAATATATTACTAACATAATTAAACTTACTTTGTTCTTCCACTTCTCCAACTGTCAAGTCTTCATAATTATTCACTAAAGCTTTGCATATGTTATCCCACGATTTCCTTTTCGTATCCCGATCCATAAACAACTTACTTTTCACATTCCACAAGCACTCATGCTTCTCCACTTCGATAATTAACCTTTCCACGTCGATCATTTTTTATAAATCGATTAGTAATTAGTTGGAAAAAATATTAAAATATGCAAAATTACAAAATAAACCGTTGACTATAATCACAATGGGTTCCTTCCCGTCGAAACAATGTGTTTACTTTGCGAACGGTACGACGGTAGCGCCGTCAAACCGCAGCATGTGGCGGCGACCAACGGCGACCAACGGCGGGGAACGGCGAAACCGTCGAGTGCGGTGCTGTCCGTCTAAATATAGTAGTTTGGTGTGAACGTAAAAACCGTTCGGATAAAACCGTTCATAACCGACGGCGAAAAAACCGCAGTGCGTTTAGAGTGTTTAGACCCTAATACTAAATAGCCGTATGCCCGTATAGTTCGTATAAAAATAATAAATATGTACATACTATAATGTATGTTATTTATACAGATAATTTTATTTATAACAACGTTTATACTATTTGCATCGTATTTTTAATTATATTACCCTAATCAGTAGTCATAATCAAAATCACAATACATGTTAACCACACTCTGTCACTGGCCCTCTGCACATAAACATATTTCATATTTATATTTTATTTTGTTCAACAAAAATGAGTGAAGTTAATAATAAAAGAAAAAGAAAACGTGTTAAAGTTGAATGTTTAGAATGTGGCAGTCAATTTAATGACGATTTCAAAAAAAAACACGAGGAAAAATTACATCGTGGAAAACGAGTAAATATTAAACATGTTGGCGCACCAAAAAATCCGTTCGAAAGTGCAGCAGCTACACGGAATTTGAATAAACGGGTAATGATACCGGTAAGTCGTTTATTATACTTGATATTTTTTGTAATAAATATTTATAATTAGGTATCCCTTGAAAAAAATGAACCTAAGTACTTTTATTAGCATATTAAATATTATTATGATTTATATTTATCACAAATATTTAATAGGTAACTCAGTAACTGGTAAGCTTGTGTTGTATTAAACGTTCATAAAATCAGTATAACAAAAATAATATATCGTAATAAATACAAATTATTTTAATTTCTTATATTTTTTATGTTAGGAAAATGAGTGTTCAAGCTCATCAGTCAGTTATAATGATGTTGAACAACTATCAAAAGATAAATCAGACTCTACTGTTCAAAAAGACAATGTTGATTCTAAATCTGAGGTATTGTTAATATTGTTAATTGTTATTGATATTTAAACAAATCAAATTGATCATTAATTAGTATAATGAACATTGGACATACCTATATATTATTAATTATTATTTATAACTATTATTATATCATATAATATGATTGTATATTTATATCTAATATCCATCCATATTGCATACAAGTATAAATATAATAATATTATAATTTATAGCTTAAATACTTAAAAGATTTGCTTTTTTTGAACTAAACATTCATAAAAAAAACCATTTTCATAAAAATATATCTAATAAATCCTAATTAGGTATTTTAATATGTTGTACTTTATTTTAGAAAAATGACTCTTCAAACTCATCAGTCGTTAATAATAATGATGAAAAACTATCTAAAGATAAATCGGACTCTACTGTTCAAAAAGATAATGTTGATTCTAAATCTGAGGTAGGTACTTATTATTTTAATAATTAAATTTAAAATTTTTAAAATTTTAATAATTAAATAAATTGTTAGGTAATTAGTAATGGATTTATTATTTATAATTTTACATTTATATCTAATAATGCATAATGCCCATTCACAATTCATAAAAATACCAAAATATATTTTTGTTTAAATATATTGTAGAAGTGTTATGAATGAATCAAAAATCAAAAATGTTTTAGGACTAGTAACTGCTAAATGAGCATAACCAATGTTTTTTTTTAAATTATATTAAAATGTATTCAAATTTAGTTTATTTCATATAAAATATAATAATAGGTACTAGTTTTATTAATACTTGATAGTATTGGTAATTTACATATATATAATATTTTAGAATTTTCAACAAGTTATTGAACATAATATTGATGAAAATTCTGAAGAAATATCATGGTTGTTATGTGCTGGCCAAATGGAGGACTTAGTATCAAATTTAAATGAGTGTAATACTTTGCTGTCAAAATTGAAAGAAGACACATTGCCAAATCCAATTATGTTTATGTTAGAAAGTCAACAAGTGATTAATAGAATAAAATTGAAATCAGAATGTTTTTTAAAAAATGCCAAAGTAGTATTAGACAACTTATCAGATCCGTCTGACCATATACAATCAGTTTCTAAACCAAATTATTTTGTTGAACATGATCCAGGGCGGCGGTGTGATATTACTTCTTCTTCACAAAGGCAATATCTTTTATCATTGGGTCCACACCAACCTAAACTTTTAAAATATCCAATCAACAGTGATATTGATCCATCAAAACAAAAAAGTTTTAATCCTATTTGGTTAAAAGAATATCCTATGCTAGAGTATAGTTTGATTACTGATTCAGCATATTGTTTTGTGTGCTCATTATTTCCAAAAGGGTTAGGAAGACAGTTTTCAAATGAAGCATGGGTAAAGCAAGGTGTTAATACATGGCAAAAAATGAAAAGTCGAGGAAAAACAAAATTAGGCAAGTTGGAACAGCATTATAATTCTTTATCACACAAAGCAGCTTTAAATGATTACCGCAACTTTATGAAAGAGTCAAATCATATTGACATTATTATGAATAGATCAAAAAGACAAGAATCCATCAAACTAGTACAAGAAAAAGAATTTAATAAACAAATAATTATAATTTTATTTGATATAGCACGGACATTGTGTAGGCAAGGGTTGTCTTTTCGTGGAGATGGTGACGAATCTAGTGGTAATTTTAATCAAATGGTTCAACTTATCTCTAGGCACAATCCCTTAATGAACCGTTGGATAAATGAAAAATCATCAAGATCTTACAATGTCACATATTTAGGCCCCCGTTCGCAAAATGAGTTTATTGATATTCTAAGTAATGAAGTAAGAAGAATTATTGTGAAAGAAGTCCAGGAAGCAAGCTTATTTTCAGTCATGGCTGATACAACCCCCGATAATTCTCATAAGGATCGATTGGCAGTTTGTTTGCGTTATGTTAATAACAATGGAAAAGCAATTGAAAGGCTTTTAGAAATAGCTGAAGGAGTAGACAAAACTGGCTTAGGAACAGCTAAACAGATTATTGAAATTTTAACTAAACATTCTTTAGGAACAGATAATTTGGTATTTCAGTCATATGATTATGCTAGTAACATGTCTGGGCAGTTTAACGGTACACAAGCTAAGCTTTCAGAACTAGTTGGTCATAGTGTTTTTTATATTCCATGTCAAGAGCATCGGATGAACACATTTTTAGAACATGCATGTAATTCTAGTTTAATTGTGTCAGATATGATTGATAACTTGGAAAACCTTTATGTATTTTTTTCAGCTAGTAATAAAAGGTATAGTGTATTGAATAAGCAAATGAACAATGTTGATAATACATTACAACTAAGAAACTTATCCAAAACAAGATGGACAGCCCGTGCAGAGTCCATTAAAGCTGTTTGGGCTTCATATGAAGCTATATGTAACACTTTACAATATATTTGTTCACATCCTGAGATATTCGATAGAAATACTAGGACAAAAGAATTTGGCATTAATAAAAAGATGCATTCATTTGACTTCATTGTCTCCTTGGTATTTATGAAAAATATAATGTATAAATTGAAATCACTAACCGAGACATTAGAAACAAAAAGTTTATGCGTAATTGATGCTGCTATTTTAATAGAGGCTACAATTAAAAATTTAGAAGATATTAATTCAGATTCAGAAAGAATAAATGATCTGATTGACAGCGCAACCTTGTTCGCAGCAAATCTTGGTATAGATTCAGAATCTGATTTCAAAGTTCATCACCGTACAAGAAAACAGCCCACTTGGTTGGACGAAAATGCTGGTACTCAAGCTGATTTAACTTTTCATATATTTTACAAAAAAGAGTTCAAATGTATACTGTCTACACTTATTAATTTGTCTAAAGACAATTTAAAAGTATTTATTAATACAATAATGCCACTGTATAAAATATTCTCATTTCCATTCAAGAATGAAAATATGAGCATTGAAAATATACAAAATGCTTTGTTAATATTTCCTCCTAACAGTGATTTTGCAAAGTGCAAGGATATTGATGCCATTCAAACTGAAATGGAAATATTAAAAGAAATATGCAAAGATTTGAGTTTAACTAAGACAACAAATTTTCTCAGTGTGATTGAAAAATGTGAAGAAGTTAAACATATCCTACCATTAGCTAATAATATTTGTCGATTAGCATTAACTGCACCGGTAAGTGTAGCTACTAATGAACGGACATTTAGCAAACTTAAACTGATAAAAAATCATTTAAGATCTACAATGACAGACAATAGATTAAATTCCCTAATGCTGTTAAGTATTGAAAAAGATATTTTAGATACAGTTGATGTAAGTAAAATAGCAACACAGTGGTTCAATATAAAACAAAGAAGAATTCAATTTTAAAAATTGTATATATTATTATTTATTGTGATACATGCATATTTATTACCTAATTTATTTAGTGATTAAATACTCATAAAATTGTATGTGTTTAAGTTTTTATTTTACCTAATCTTGTGTACGTACCTACTTTTGGTAAAGCTGACCAATAT